CAAGGCGCCCCTATATGCAAGGCGCCCCTATATGCAAGGCGCCCCTATATGCAAGGCGCCCCTATATGCAAGGTAACGTTACCAACCCCCCTCTAGAGAGGCCCTATCTACAGATCAGATGATGAGCACTTGTCGGTTAGTAATGATAATAATGAAGTAACAAAGATAATTTCGATAATGTAGGCCTTATCTTATCCACTTTAATAGATCTTTTCATCATTTGATAATCACTCTTTGATTTTTAGCAATAACAGGGGGTCGCAGAATATGTTGATTATACCCTCCCACCCCTTGGAAATGTCAATCTTGGTGCCAAGTTTATTTCCATGAGAATTATAACTATCTCCACTTAACTAAAAATAAAATCATCCCGAAGAGCTTGAATATGAGGGCTATGCGGCAAAAATTTATTGTACCAACATAGCTGCCGAGTGATAAAGGTCTGATTATACTTTGATTAGACAGTCTTGCATTTTATTGGTTATGTCATCTTTGTAGGCAGTATTTAGAATATGGTGGATTTGGTTCTGGAACTCCATCTACAAGGGAGAAACAATATCGTAATCACAGATTCGAGCAAGCTATTGAAGGAGTATTTTCACACAAGACTAAACAGCATGGAGCAGAAGAGACATCCATTGCCAAAGCTGAGAAAAAAGCTATTAGAAAAAATAAAATTTCAGGTGCTATTGAACGCATGGTGGAAGATCTTATCCAGGAAGCCATGTCTAAAGGGGAATTCCAAAATTTACCAGGAAGTGGAAAACCATTTACAAAAGACCCACTAAGAGATCCGTATATGGGTGAGTAAATAAATGAAAAATAAAGGGATGAAAAACGAGAAGTGAATTATAACTGTTCCAGTATGAAACAGTAATGATGAAAAGCTAAATTATACACTGTGAAAAGATGAAAAAACTTACTGACGTTTCAGACGCTAGTCCTTCATCAGAGTAAAAGAGCTCCAGTATGAGTTTATACATATATGGGGCAGATAAAGTAACTGGTAGAAATAGATAAAAGAATGAAAGGTACAAAACCAACTATACCACTTGATGATTTTAATCCCCCTCTGTGGGGGAGGTATTGAGGTATTTTTGCTGATCACCGGTTCATACCAGCTGTTCTGTCGTATCCAGCTGATCGGTTTTTTAAATCAGGGTTTATTATTATTATTATTATTATTATTATTATTATTATTATTATTATTATTATTGGATACTTTCTCTAACTAATCCTGCACTGTAATAAAGCAACCTCTTTTTTTCAGATTCTGGTACTCATAGACTAAATCAAATCCTATTAGATTCTGGTTATGTACCAGATTGGATTGCCTTAGAAAAGGAAATACGAGAAGACTATGCAACTCTCAAAAATAAAATAAGGATAAAGAGAGAACAACTTGGACCAATGCCATTCACGAAGGAAGACCACCAAAAATGGAGCAATTTTGAGAAAGGACTTACACAGAAAGTTCAGTTAATTGATCGTAAAATTGACAAACTTAATTTAATTGTTCCAGTCTTGAATCGACAAAGAATGCATATTAATCTGCAAAAGATTATTAATAAGGCTTTAATGGATTATGGTTATGGAAGTCCTGAATTATTCTCACCAAAAGACAATTCAGTAGCAAAGGAAAACATTCAGCGATTTTACTTGGACATTAACATTAGAAATTCTTTAACTGTCGTATTTAGGGATTATATTGGCCCTGTTATGTTGTGGACAATATTTTATCTAGATAGTCTACTTCGAAATTTAAAGGCAAAATATGTTAATAAAAATCAATGATAGGCAAATATTATAATATTTTTAATGTGCCTAGAATAATTAGTTGTCATTTGTTTTAATTCCTTCCTTTATTCCAATCTCTCTCTCTTTTTTCTTTCTTTCTTTTGTTCATTCTTTTTTCTTTCTCTTTCTTCCCCCTTCCCTTTCTTCCTTCCTTCCTTTTTCTTCTTCTTTTTGTTCTTTCATTCATTCCTACTTTCATTCATTCATTCACTCACTCACTCACTCATCCTCATTCATTCCATTCCTTCCTTCCTTCCTTCATT